TATGGTTATTTTCAGGGACCCTTCGTTAGAGGTACTGCAGACAGGGGTGGGAGGGAGAGGGGGGGGGCGGGGTGTTACATATAAGTCTGAAAATAAAGTAATAATTTGAAATCTGCTCTTTGATATTAATCACCCATTTCTGATGAAGTGAATTTTGAAATATGTGGCCCCAGGGTCAGTGGTTCTTCTGGGTTGGTGTGCACAACTGGTGGTTATAAAGTGGAAATGCATTTTCTCTCTGTTACAGACTGAGTCTGCCTTTGGGTATTAAGTAATCAAAATAAGCATGCTAAGTGTATAGTTATGATAAACAATGGTGCCTCTTTCAAAATTGTGAATTTCAAGGCTTTTGGTTTAAAATAGTCAAACCAAATTCAGTTGTTGGAAAGTTGTTACATGTTACTCAGGTGACCTGTAAGGCCCGTGGACCTCTTGTTCATTCATACATTATGATAAACATACAGTCCTGTCATTAAATAGTTCTTTGACTTTTTAAAATATTAAGACTTACCATTACATATGACCTGTGTCCCTTTTCACAAAAATTCTGACGACTAAGAATAAAATTTCCCACAATTCTTCAAAGGATATCCAAGCTGCAGAAATCTTAGATTTCTACTGCACTAAATTAATAATTTATTTTTACACTGTAAAAAATAATTAACAAATCAAAGCCTGGCTTTCATTTCTTTCAACACTCTGATTTGTTTACTGTGCTATTTATAATAAGACAGTCGATCTGTCGTGATGCCTAGAGCCAGGACTTTGCTTTCAGCAAAGCCCGGCTAAAAACTATCTTCATTAAATAGAAAAAATACCGAATGGCAAAATTTTATTCGTAGTCGTAAATTTGGAGTATATAAAGAGGAATAATGAATTTTCTATTTTATTATTGAAGCTAAAAGTGAGGGTTAATGTACAAGCAGTGCTTCATTTCTTAAAATTAATGGAGACAATACTCCAAAGGGACTAAAATTATGGTCATTGCTATGAAGGAATTAAAAGTGCTATGAGTATATCGACCCACTTAATTTGTATTGTTTGTAAGCATTTAATATATAAAGTGCATACCATATTTTAATACAATATACCCTTAATATACATTTCCCCAGTTTTTAATCTATATCATGTATATAGAGAGTACTAAGAAAGGAAGTGTTTTGACGGACTAATTTAACATGTTTATAAATACCACAATTCTTCAACATCCATATCAGAAAGGTGTCAGACTGCATTATTGAAGGTAATGAGTTTGGTCCTCATGCAGTTGCATAGTTATATCTTTTTTTTAGCTCACCTGAGCCGAAGGCTCAAGTGAGCTTTTCTGATCACATTTTGTCCGTCGTCCGTCCGTCCGTCTAGCTGTCTAGCTGTCCGTCCGTCTGTAAACTTTTCACATTTTCATCTTCTTCTCAAGAACCACTGGGCCAATTTTGACCAAACTTGGTACAAAGCATCCTTGGGTGAAGGGGAATTTAAATTGTTAAACTGAAGGGACATATCCCCTCGCAAGGGGAGATAATCAAGAAAAGACAAAAATAGGGTTGGGTCATTAAAAAATCTCCTTCTCAAGAACCACTGGGCCAGTAAAGCTGAAACTTATGTGGAAGCATCCTGGGGTAGTGTAGATTCTAAATTGTTCAAATCATGACCCCCGGGGGAAGGGTGGGGCCACAATGGGGAATCAAAGTTTTACATAGAAATAGAGGAAAAATCTTTGAAAATCTTCTTCTCAAGAACCACTGGGCCAGAAAAAGTGAAGCTTATGTGGAAGCATTCTGGGGTATTGTAAATTCTAAATTGTAGGAATCATGAACCCCGGGGGAAGGGCGGGGCCATTATAGGGAATCAAAGTTTTACGTAGAAATATATAGGAAAAATCTTTGAAAATCTTCTTCTCAAGAACCACTGGGCCAGAAAAGCTGAAACTTATGTGGAAGCATCCTGGTATAGTGTAGATTCTAAATTGTTCACATCATGACCCCCAGGGGAAGGGCGGGGCCACAATGGGGAATCAAAGTTTTACATAGAAATATATAGGAAAAATCTTTGAAAATCTTCTTCTCAAGAACCACTGGGCCAGTAAAGCTGAAACTTATGTGGAAGCATTCTGGTATAATGTAGATTCTAAATTGTTCAAATAATGACCCCCGGGGGAAGGGCGGGGCCACAATGGGGAATCAAAGTTTTACATAGAAATATATAGGAAAAATCTTCTTCTCAGGAACCACTGGGCCAGAAAAGCTGAAACATATGTGCCCATGGAAGGATCATGGGGTAGTGTAGATTTCAAAATGTCTAAATTATGATCAGTGGGGTAGGGTGGGGACGCATTATGTATAACAAGGGGGAAATCTCATAAAGAACAGAATGGTCAAAGCTTCTCAGGTGAGCGATGTGGCCCATGGGCCTCTTGTTCTTAAATTGAAGGGGAAAAAATTCTTAAGTTCTTGCCCCTGTAGAGGCATTTGAAGAGAAATTTGTACTTAATTTTAACAGACACCAGGCCAAGCCGTTTTCATTGCAACTATATTGAAATTCCTGAAAAAGTAACAGAGCTCTTAAACAAAAGACCGACATCAGAAGTGGGTTTTATTGATATTAAGTATTAAAATTTTCTAGCAATTTAGTGAAACATATATTTGTTGCAATAATAGATTTCCAGTTGTCAAGGAAATGTCAATAAATTTGATACATGTACCAAATCCCAATACTACAACCACATTAGCTATATTATCTTCCCAAATGCTCTGTATCACATACCCTTCCTCTATCAATAAAACATAATTTTCTCTCAGAATAAACATAAAAGGAAAATTAGAGACAGCTAGAACGAATGATTATAGTCAAGATACAATAATTATAGTTCTGTTGTGAAGTGATGACGGCGTTATGCATGTTTGATTGTGCGTATTGTTTTATCTTTGTACCAGTCATTATAAATGTATAATCCTGTAATTACAGAGTATCTCATTCTATATGTTTCTGAAATATGGATTCACTCTATTTGTCTTTACAAATTGATGTTAGTAAGAATTTTTGTCAACTTGATAAAAAGTGTGTCAAAATCTGACATGTTTCAGTATGTTCAGAAAACCACATATTATGTAAAGATTTCATTTGTACCTATGTGAATAAATTGAAATGATATTTGTGACTTGATCGTGGCAGACTAAGTAATAAAATACCTTTTATTAAAGTAGCAAATCTTCATGAACTTTTTTCAGGCAATATTTAATTTTCTGTTTTGGATTCTGATCAGTTTTATGATCTAACAAGAGAAGGGGGGGAGCAGCTTACTTGTTATAAACCATGGTTTGCCACTGGTGTTGCATATGAAAGGTTTTTATAATTACAGTAAGGAGTAAGTTTTATTGCTGTCAGTCATCACAGCATTTAGACAATGTGCAATAAACAGGATTGGATTGTTTTTATTATTAAAATAAATTAATTAGCACTCTAGAAATTTTATAATAAAAATGGAGATTCGTTTTAATTAAATTAATACATCCTCTGATATATTAAGTTACCATGGCAATTAATAAGTGTATCAGAGATGAAACTTTTAATCTATTTGTTTTTCATTTCATGTGGATAGTACAAAACTGAATAATTAATGGGAAGATTAGACACAAATGATACAAGCTAGCAAGCTATTTGATTCAGGAACAGAACTGATTATATAGATTATATATTGAAGTAGGTTTGCCCTAAGCAAGCAGCTGTAGATCTTTAATATGATATCAGACACTTTTATATATCTAAAAGTTTTAGGAATTGTTATTTCATTTGTCATTTTAAAAGACTTGGAAGAAATTTACAGAAAAAAATGTGTTTGCACATACTTCTAGGTGCTGGTCATCAAAGAAAATATTTATTTATTTAGTTTTGGCTATAAATGCATGCTGCAAAGTAGACATTTATCATATTTATGAAGAATAATTCTTAACAGAACTGGGAAATCAATGCTAAGTGCGGAGCAATAGATGCCAAATTTATGAAGAATTACATGAATCAGGCAATGAGAGCACAGATTGGTCCAAGAACCAGAGAGATAAATTGTTAAGTTACACTTGATGGAAAATCTTTTCCTGAGGCCGCGGGAAAAAGTATTGATCAGAAACCAACGCCTCACGTAATGTGTAACATTGTAGTTAGGAGTAAAATGTCCAGGAACCAAGTCAGATGACAAAAAATTTAACAATCAATAAACGTCTGAAGCAGTGCTGCAGATTGAAAGCTTTTGTGTGTTAAGGGTTCTGGTGACAGAATTAAGCATTATAATGAGACAGGGTCCCTGGTTAACTGCTGTACTTTTGTATTAAATTATTCAATACATGCATTACATACTGCATGATTTCATAACTACGTTTGAATGTCATTATCTCAAACACTGCTATATTTAATACCATGGAAATGTTTAAGTGATTTGGAAGTTCCAACCATTTACACTGTATTCTTTTAAGTATGTTACCCTGTATATCTTGAATCATTGTATATCTTGAAGTTTTTCTTGGTCTGAAGTTACTGAGTTCAAGATAATGAGGTATGACTGTATTTATGGAAAGAAATTGTTTAATTATCATCATAGCTTGTAATTGTAGCTCGTTACATGATAAATTATCTTGTTGTGGACCTTTATTACTGTGGTACTGAAAAACAATGGAAAGACATTATTCTATCAAAAACCTGTTCAATGTATGTTGATATGTAGGCAGGAATTCACAAAGTTAACATGTATAATAGATTATTGATAGTAAGGTGAAAGAATTTTTAATGTGAACCCCATTTGTAGCACCAAATTTTTGCTTGGTTGTGCCCCCTCTCCTCCTGTCATGCCAAGTAATATTGCTTTCTAAGGGACTTTGAATGAGACAAAAGATTGAAAGAGGGAGGAGTGTGGTTTATAATGAATTTAGATCACTCATCTATTATACCAAATGATATATTTCCTAGAAATACTGAGAAACTTTTTAATTATTTCTATTTCTTTTTTTCAGCAACAATGTTTCTGAATACATTGACCCCGAAGTTTTATGTGGCTCTGACTGGAACATCATCTCTTATATCTGGGCTTATACTGGTGAGTTACAGTATGAAGAAAAAGAAATTTTTAAACATGTCAAAGTTCAGTCCATCTGCATCAATGAATGAACTGGACAATTTTCAACCAAAGTTGCCACATAGCATCCTTGTAAAGGGTTTAAAATAATAAGAATGAAGGACCATATCCTATTTAAAAGGAAAATAATTAAGAATTAAAGAAGAAAATTATTGGCATCTTTCAATCTTCTCAAGTACAGTAGAACTTGCTTATAAAGTAGTGTCAGGAACGGATGATTTTGATTTCTTATAGATGTAATTTGTTATCTCTGTTAAGTTTCAAAATATATTTTAAAGCCACAGGGAATGAAAATCAATATGCTGTAAGCATTGCAATTTGTTATATTAGTGTGTTTACTATAATTGTGTTTTACTGTACCACTTGCCTAAAAGTTTGCAACTTGTATATGCTATACACTATATTTTTTGGCATATTGATAAAATTCTATTATTTGAGAGCCATGCCATGAGTTTATTTCCAATTGGTGAGATTTTGAACATCTGTCATTTTGTAGTCAAACTCCTTACTGACTTCTTTGGGCAGCTGGTGATAATATGATACAAAGAGGTTATTTTTCTATCACAGTAATTATCAGATGGCCTTTTCTTAAGAGTGCTTTGAAAAAAAAATTAATAGCAAGTGTGTGAACACAGTTTGTACTTGTGAATACTACTTTTCATTTTGGCTTCGTGTTGCCATGGAGACAGTAGGTAATTTAAAATAAATGACAAAACCTGTGGAAATGTTCTCAATTTCACAACAGTACATTTATACACAATATCCTATAAGTGTTCTTAATAACAAATCAAGCTCTCAGGTATCTAGTCAATCAAAGACTAGATGTATAATTTTTCCTTTATGTGGTTTTAATAAATCTGGTATTCTGGTAGCTAAAGGTTAAAAATTAAATGTATTTAACATGTTAAACCAGTTGAAGTGATAATAATAGGTGGTTTTATGATAGCATTTTTCACTCTATTTACAAAAATTTACAGTCATTAATTTTTCATAGACCATGTTCTTGTTTATTGCAGATATTTGAATGGTGGTACTTCAAGAAGTATGGAACCTCCTTTATAGAGCAGGTGTCACTTAATCACATATCCCCCCTCCTAGGTGGAAATGATAACCCCAGCCCAGAGAACAACAATAGTTCCACCCTGTCTCCCACCACTAATTCTACTCACCAGCAGTCAATGCCAGGTAGGTGTCTAGGCTCTTTGGATTATGCAGAAGAGGGGATGAGAAAAGGAAGGTTTTCTTTTTAGGGGGGATGGTGAGAGAGGTCAGGAGATGGGGATTGATTTTCAAAATAGTGAATGCTTTGGACTCAGCAGGTTGAGTCTCGGAAAACTGAAGGCGATAAAATTTAGAAATGTATTTTTAATGGAGTAACATTTAGTCAGTATGTAGAATTTGTACAAATTATTTATTCACTGAACATATTGAAAATACAAAAATACTGAAAATACAAAATATATATTTAAGAAATGAATTTAATTTTTGAAGATTCATGCGTTAGCGCTTCATGATAAATATGCCAGCGTGAAGCGTTGTAGTTCATATACCTCATGAATTTTCAAAGTTTAAATATTTTTCTTATATTTACATTATATTTCTGATGAGTTGCCACGAGTTACGCCACTCAACTGCCATTTTTTAAGCAAAACAGATTGCACTTTATAGTTTGACGTCAAGTACGGTATTATGACGTAACAATGTAGATATTCATGCTCCTCCATTGTAGTTCATGAGAAAATATACAATACTCTAATTTGCAAAGAATGTTAAAAATATTTGAAAATGTAATTATTTATAGATTAATTAATCAAATAGTTGTAAGGTAATTTTTAAAATTTATACTAATAAAAGAAAAATCATTTGTGTTGATAGAAAATAAAATGGATTAAAGTGAATATGAACAATTTTTTTTGTTCCAGAATGCAAGGTTTGGAGAAATCCCCTTAACTTATTCAGAGGGTCAGAGTACCAGAGGTATACCTGGGCCAAAGGTAAAGAACCCCTGACCTACTATGACATGAACCTCTCAGCACAGGATCATCAGACATTTTTTACCTGTGAGGCAGATGCTGGGAAGCCAGAGTATGAAGGTAAACTATAAATAGTTTTCACGACATATTTTCTCTTAGAGTTATTTCCCATGGTCGCCATCTTGATGGTCAACCTGGTAATTTTTCCTCTTTGTCCTACCAAATTTAAGAGGTTATTAGGAAAAAAAATCTTTATGGAATAAAAATTATGAATAAAGTAGGCTCTAACAAATGTATATTTTTCAAAAAAATTCTTTCTACCCCACTATTGCCAGTATAAAAAGTTATAGTTCGGTAAAGAAAGAAGGAATATGAGCATGTTTACATCTTATAGCAGCCAGTAGGAAATAACTCTTCTTAATTTGGGTGAACTGAAAACTATCTATCTGCTTAAACAGGAAAATTTTATTGTAATAAGGAATGTATTGCTTGATGGTGAAATGAATAAATCTTTAATTGATAAAAGTCTTATCAAAGGTGAGTTTTGTGGCCCATGGACCTCATGATTAAGTAAAGTTTTCCTATTTACAGTAATGCAGAGAGCCTGGAGAGAGAGGAATCCAGCCTCAAGAATTAAAGCCGCTAAAGATGCTCTGGAGAAGAACCCAGAGTAAGAACCCAAATACATTTAGACTAAACCAGATAACAGATATATAGAAGAAAATTGGGAAATCTACGAGGGTTGTCCCATAAAATCGTGGACAAGTTGTCTAGTGTAAAAAATAAACATCACTGCATCCTGAAATTTTCACTATTATTTAGTACATATTTTAGTAATATATACAGCAAATTTCAGATAAATATATGCATAAATAAACAAATTATGTGATTTTATGCCATGTATTGTATCACCTTACGGCGCATGGATTATAACGTCAAAGTGTCTAAAACAGCATCACGTTTTATCTTTGCTGAAAATGAAGTTGGATAAGTCCGACTTAAATTTAGGAATTTCATTGATACACATTCTTTAGTCTCCATAAACAGTCGAAGAACATATTGGCACCCTCATGCGATCTTCTGACGATTTATCAGTAAGTTACGGACAATATTCTCACCGTCATTCAACTAATAGAAAATCTCATATCGGCGGTCTACTGTGGCAGCGTCTTTTGCTATTACATTAGGAGTTTGTCCGTATGTTTTGTACTCCCCAGGGACTCGATCAATAAAGACTTCGCTAAGAAAACTTCTATTTCATTTGTATACTTAAAGCCGCTTGGTCCGATTCTAATCGCTAAAAGTAAAAATATATATTCGTTTTTCTTCTTGAAAAATAATTGTCCATAAATTGTTTCAACTTTTGTCAAATTATATCCCCAAAGTCTTTTTCCTTTAAAAGATATCAAAATTCAAAAGTTAAAAAAATAATATTTGTTAGGTTACACAAAAAATAATCCTATGTTGATCATTGTTGATATCGCGTGAAATCACCTTCGAAAAATTAAATTTATCGCTTACATGTTTATCTCATGAAGATCAAACCCGAGCATTTTTTTCACAACAAAGTACATATACTACCTGTACACGGACAATATTTTAGCTCCTTTAAAAAATCATTTAAAATATCTGATTTTCCTTTATTCTTTAAATATGCATATTGATAAAAAAATTACTATGGATTATATTCAATTAATTTCTTGATTTTGAAAAGATGTATTATGACTAAGGCTTCTACTATTAGAGAAAAAAAATGCTCGGGTTTGAATTATCTTCATTATTAGATATATCCGATAAACTTATTTTTTCAAAATTGACTTCACAACAGATCTTAACTTCCTGTCAGGAACTTCTGTTTGTCAATAAGGTTTTGATCTATGGTTTCCTCATAAGGATTGTTGTAATAAACTATAAAATCAGTCTTATAATTGATTTTTATATATTATCTATCTAATGACGTACTTTTATTGTGTAAGATAATATGTGCCTGTTTCGGGTTAAGCGGCTTTAAGATATGGTGATATTTTTATAATCTTTTTTCTTCTATGGTCATTTCAAGTCTCTAAAGGTGTCATTACAACATCAAATTAAAACGGAACTGCTCTCTGGTGCGCCATAATGTCATAAAACGTCGCCATTTTTCGTATGTTGTGTTTACCACTTTCCCATTTCGAATGCTCGAGAAACTGCGAAAAATTAACCAAATGCCTTAAAATTTTTACAAAGACTACAAAATTGATTGTGGAATTGAATTAGAATAATTTTAATCCAAATCCTTTGTATTTAAAACTTTTATTTCGATTTCAAACTTGCGTATTCTTTAATAAAACCTTGGTTTTTTGTCCGTGCGCCGTAGGACAATACCCCGTGCACATTCAAGCATAATAAAATCTTTATTTTTGACTATATATTATCAAAAAAATTATCATGCACTTAAATATGATAAATTAACATTTACTGAAATTTTCAGCTGCGCCCATTACTTTTCGAGAAAAACGCTTTGTCCACGATTTTAAGGGACAACCCTCGTAAGTGCAAAATTACTGCCATATTTACTTGACTATAGTCCTTTTTTCAATCACTCTACTCACTTTTCTAAACACACTTTTAAGAGGTGAACTTGTTGAAGTAACAAACCTGCAAAGAAGAGAAATCATGTAGAGTTAGATTCAAAGAAAAGCAATTTCTTATATTCTAATTTGTCACAAAATAAAACTCATAATGAAGTCTTGATGTACAAGAAAAAGTAATGCCTATGTCTGTAACATTATATTTTGTTCAATGAAATAAAGTATTATTTGGGTATTATTTGGCCGCTTGCTAAAATTTACATCAATTGTGAATGAGATCAGGCCAGGGTTTCATAAATGTGAATCCAAGGGAAGATAACCATGTGGGATGGCAGCACATCTTCATTGCACATTGAGAGAAATGATTGCATTGGAAAAAATTAATATTCTAAATGCAAATCATTTAAAACTTTTCATGCAAGAACAATTTATTTTAACTAATGAAATTAAACATCTTAAGTTTGCTAAAGAAACATTATGAAAATCTCTAGCTTTTGAAGTACTCAACACTTGCAACAAATTAAATTTTGCACATTCTGCCCATTTTACTGAAAAATACTGTAATTTTTAATAATTCAACCCAGTAGGGATACAGTCATATTTCAGTTATATGCTTTCCCATCTTTTTTTTAATTAATATATCTCGCTGTTTTCTCTTTCAGTTGTCCAACAGCCATGATTTTATTAGCAGAAGAAGATACAAGTTCCATTGTAGATGTAAGTTGAAAAGAATTCTGTCAGAAAAAATAATCCAGTTTCAAATAAATTGACACTAAAAATGCAATTCATAACAAATCGGTTTTTGAAATACATGTAATTGAAATTTCATTCTATCTCATGGGTAACTGAAAATAATACCATATCATGATTATTATAAATTTTAAATTCATTTAACATTTTAATAATTTGAAATACAAAAGAGATATAGTCTCTTAATGTGTGAAAAAAGATTGAATACAGTAAAACTCATTTAGTATGAACATGAACATGGATATTGCGAATTCATGAATATAGCAAAGTTATCTTGTATCCCCAGCTATATAAATTTAACAAATTCCTTATAAGGATATAACTAATTTTGGATATAGCGAAGTAATTTCATAGTTTCCAATGACTTCTTTATAACCTAATTTTACTGTATACACCAAATTTTTAACATCAACACAACTTACTGCTAGAAACACTTTTTTCTTTACCTGGAACATTATGAATTATTGCATTGTGTCAAATAGGTACATGCAGTTTAGTGTTCATGCAGTATATTTTGTTTTGACAGGCAGAAAAGATGTTTAAACAAGCTTATAAAGCAGCAGAAGTGAACTATAAGAAATCTATACAGACCCAGCATCAGAGTTCTACAAATGAGGCTGTTCATCGTAAGCATCTGTAGAATTGAAATTTAATTCAACAAACAGAGTCTAGAGTGAATTAAAAAGTGTGATCAGCTAATGATTTTTTTTTCAAAATTGTTTCATGTTTTGAACTTTAAAACACTGTTCCATAAAATGCAGGATCACTATAACTAATGAAATACAGTGTGTTTTAAATACATGAATTGAACCGAGGCACTGAAAATTAAAAAAAATTGTAATTGAGGTTTGTTGTGTTTTGATGAATAAAGGCATTTTCTAATTGCACACTTTTTCTCCATTATAGGAAGAGATGTAAATGTTTTAGTCTATGTAAAAAGAAGACTAGCTATGTGTGCTAGGAAACTAGGTCGGACGAGAGAAGCAGTTAAAATGATGAGAGAGGTAGGGCTTTTCTTGGTTAACATGGAACAGTGTAGCCCCTTTAACAGGGACAGAATTTGAGGGGAATAATTTTATTTTTATATACCAAGTTTGTTTTAACGTTTAATAATCCAGGTGCTTCATTAAAATAGACAATCTCCGTGGGAATAAGCATAAACAAGGTTCATCTGTATCATGTTTATTTTTCATTATCTTGTGTTGATTTACAGTGCAGTGTAATCAAAAAATTTTTCTATCTTGGGATATTTGAAATTAGATAATTTAAAATATTTTCATTTGATTGTGTCATAACATGCAAAGTTCTATTTCTTTATTTTTTTTTTACAGCTCATGAAGGAATTTCCTATGCTCAACTTATTCAATATACATGAGAATCTCATTGATGCATTATTAGAATTACAAGCATATGCTGATGTTCAAGCAGTTTTAGCCAAATATGACGGTATGTGGTAAAATTACTGATTTACAACTTGAATTCATGTGCTAAACATGTTTTATTTTATTGGTGATAATGATTTTTTGTGTGTGGTAGATGCTTGGAATATACCCCAAGTTTCAATCGAATAAAATTCAGTTTATTACAATGTTACGAGGGTTGTCCCAAAAAGTCGTAGACAGGGAAAACAGTTTTGTTTCTCTTTGCTAAATTAAATTTCTTTCCTTGTCATAGCAAAAAGTAACATTTTATGATCATGCATTTCAAGTTTCATGATGATATCACATTTAATAAGAAAATTATGAAAAAATAAAGAAAGCATATAAGTGTACATCGGCGCACAAAAGCAAACGTAATTTACGACCCATATAACATCATGTCTTTGATCTTTTTTTTCTGCTCCACACGCGTCTGTTAACATTCAATATTTTTTTAAGGTGAAAGACCACCCTTGACAAAGGGACTTATTTAAATTACTACTGTCCGTTTTTTTTTTTTTTTTTTTTTGTATTTTGTTTTTTTTAAGCAGATTCAAAATTTAGTCCAAGGATCGCCTTACATTGTAGGCAGCATAGAATACACGTTTGATGTTGTTCGTGGCCCAGATTTTTCCCCATTGTCTGCGTTTAACAAACAGTACTTTACTTCTTACATGCTGTAACTATTTTCGGTAGGCAAACTCTCATTGAATTTCATGCCATTTAAAAATAATTTCTCCATTAAAATCTAGTCTGTAATGTTACTCATGTACTCTTTTTATCCATCTCTGATGTACATAAACCATATCCTAAACAATTTAATACATCTCCGTGTGCCGGTTACGCGTTTGACGACGTCATTTTCATCAAACTCAATTAAAATCATGACACCAATTTCTAATGCTATTTATATGAAAATTTGACATTTTAGTAAGATTTTGATTCTGGTTTCACTGATATAAATTTCAGTTCAATGTTTCATGTAGTACTAAAGAAATAAAAGCAAATGTAATTGTTATATACTTAAATTATTCCGAATTTTGTTTGTGCGCCGACAGATCTAATCGGCCTTCATATAAATCGTCCTAATATCATAAATATGAAAGATATATATTTAAGAATTCACAATTTTAAAGAACACTGAATACATTATGCCTATGAAAAATTTGGTTAGTATTGGTTGCATGTTTAAAATGTTATAGACATTGTCTACGACTTTTTGGGACAACCCTCATATATAATTACTATGTTTACAATTATCAGTTTTCTATTTTAGTTATATTTCTATTTTCAAATTTGAATTTTTAGATTTTTTCTTTCAGAGAATATCTTTGAATGAAAATATTTTCAGAGTAAAATAAAATTCCTGAAAACCAAGAATGCTGGTTAAAATTCAATTAACAGTAGTTTTCATACAAAAAATCCCATGTCAGAATACATGTACCAAACTTAATGTATCCTGATACTTTTTTCTTTCAGATATAAGTTTACCAAAATCAGCAGCAATATGTTACACAGCAGCATTACTAAAGGCCAGAGCAGTGGCGGATAAGTAAGTCTTGACTCTCTACTCTTCTCTGTTTTATGTTAAGTAATTTTTGACATACTGTAAATCACTTTTTATTTGCGAGAACTTTATTTTTGTGTTATTAATGAGACAGTGTGCTCGCAAAAATATCATTCTCTTAGACTATACAGAGCAATAAACACAATTCGCTTATAAAGAGGCATATATTTCACAAATTTGCCATGAAAATTTATCTACAGTTGCGAAGTATTGCAATACTTTTAAGTTGAATCAAAACTGACATTTTCTTTGATTATATATTAAGTTTAATTTTTCAAATGGATAGCCTTCATAACTATGAAAAAATGATATTGATGGCTAGAAACTTGAAAATAAAAGCTTAATATGGAAGCAAATTTTGTTGGGGTAAAATACATCCATAATATATCACAGTTCCTATTTACTGTTTTCTTAATAACAATGTATTGTCCAATTACATTTGTTTTAACTTTTAATGAACCATATTTGTGATACCAAAGTTCAACTGTTTCATCATCAATATAACTAAAATGTGCAATACTTGATATAGTAGTACTTCACTATAACTGTTTTTCTGGAACGCCGTGCATGCCGTTGCGGTCCATTAGATGGACTAGGCGTGCATCACTTATGATGGCAGGTATATTTCTTGTTCCAGATTCTCACCGGACATAGCCTCCAAGCGAGGCTTAAGTACGGCAGAAATGACAGCAGTAGAGGCCATACACAGAGCGGTAGAGTTCAATCCACATGTCCCAAAAGTAAGGCTTAACTTACCTGAAACTTAATATTTTTGCACAAGCATTTATATTTTCATGCTAAAATTTTTTTATCATAAATTTTTACTTTAATTCTCCATATAACAATTTGTCTAACTATCAATTTTGAGTTCAGCACACTCTAAAAATGTATGCTTTTCAGTATTTACAAGAGATATAAGTGTTTTTTGCAGTATTTATTTGTGATATAAGTTTTGTTTTTGCAGTACAGTGAAGTCGCCAATTCCGGGTCACATCAGGTGTTTCGTTGATATTTTGCAAATCTGTTCAATTTATATTTTATGCAATATATGTATTGAAAGAACAAATAGTAGTTTACCAAACACCTTTTCGTTTTCAAAGTAGCTACACGGGAACAATATTTACAGTGGTATTTCAGCAAGGCCTAGCTTCCCCAGTTACGAATCATTTTCTCCATTTCCGGGTCATGTGTCTTCACTGTCGTGTAATATTCATGGAACGTTTCGGAACACGATTTTTATGATGTTGAAACATAAAACAGTTCATACAGCTTGGAAAAAAGTAAAACAACCACAGAAATATGTTTAAATTACATGTATTTTTACAACAATTACAACAAAACAAATTGCAGTATGCAGAATGGAAAAAAATGTATTAGGATTAAAATAATACAAATTAAATTCATTTATTTAAAAAATGCATGTAAAGGGTTAACTCGATTTTAATCTAAAAAAAATATTTTCCAGTTAGAATACTTTTGATAATCAAGGTAAATACATGGTTGTCGATTGGTTTTGTACAGTGAATATTGACATGTTCATGCCACGAGATTGCGTGACCCGCAATTGGAGAAACTACTACAGTTTGATTTGATCATCATTATAATTTTATTTGAGCAGCGATCATTATGATTGATTTCTGAGTTAAAACTAAATGTATTTGCCATTCTTTCGAGCTCTTATTATTTATCTAGAACTTTTATATCAGTTTTTCTGCAGCGAACAAAAATGAAAGTAGCCAGTCACCGCAGCAGAAACATCCAAGTCTTTAATGCGTGCGTTTCAGAATTTCGATTGTCGGATGCTCTCTTAAAGTTGATATTCAAAATTTTGTAATTAATTACATACATAAAAACCAGTTCTTCACGACCAGTGTATTCATTAAGTTTTTTGCACACACAATTTTAACACTAGGCATGAATATAGAGAGGGTTAAATGTATGAGTTCTCCACATGAGAATTTCAGATATACTGTATTTACTAGAGATATAAGTAATTTTTTTTCAGTATTTACTAGAGATATAAGTATTTTTTTTCAGTATTTACTAAGATATATATTATTTTTTTAGTATTTACTAGAGATGAAGAGTCTCATATTACCTCCAGAACATATCTTAAAGAGGGGAGATAGTGAAGCAATAGCCTACGCCTTCTGTCATTTACAACATTGGAAGCGAGTAGAGGGGGCACTTAATCTCCTACACTGTACATGGGAAGGAAGTAAGTCTGTGTATAACACACACAATATTCAACAATATGGCTAAATATTTAGAGAGAGTTAAATGTACGAGTTCTCCACATGAGAACTTAAGATATACCTATACAAAAATTAGGACTGGGACAATACAACATTTTCTATATCGATACGTATCATGATATTTGAGCCACTATACGATATGTATCATGATATGTTTGATTGCTTATAAAATCTTTTTTTTGCATTGAAATAAATTATTTCTTTGCAAATAAGAATAATTTATTTAAAAAAGTTCTTTATATTTATTGTAAAAAAAAAATATTTGACTCAATTGGTGTTAATTATTATTTATTTCATATCTTTGTTTATATTTAGCTTATTTATTTATCAAACTCCAAATGTTAAATAAACAAAAAAAAATCGAGACGTCAGATTTTTTTGTCGATATTTCTTCATATATATCCATATGCGTATTGTCCTCACATGTATCACGATATCTCGATATATCGTCCCAACCCTGACAAAAATGATGCTAAGCTTTAGGTCAGAATGATTGAAGACACAAAATTTAAACATTGATGAACATGTGTAATTAAGTTTAATTGTTCAGTTTACTTAATTTTTCTAGTGAAGTCAAGATGTAATCATTATGCTTCTTTATTCTTGTCACATTTGCACATGAATTCAAGCAACCCTCAGTAAAACCCCAGGTCTATTCTTTGTATAATAGAAGATTTCCCTTGTTTCACACAGCTTTCAGAATGATCCCCTACCCTCTGGAGAAGGGGCACCTGTTTTACCCCTACCCCACCTGTACAGAGAATGCAGACAGAGAGCTCCTCCCTAGTAAGTCACACTAATCATACAGAAACACATTCTGATACAGTAATTATATTGAGATTCTGAGTAAAGATTATAATACATGTAATCATTGCTAAATCAATAAGCTGTGATAATACATTACAGTATGTATTTGCAATATTTCGTCAAAACATATAATAAAAAAATTTATTATGGATTGTTCAGGAGGGAGACAAAACAAGTTGGGCCTGAATAGGGTTGTCTTCTAAAGGTGTGTGTACCCAAGGGTGACAACCTTACTCAGATGTGATAACGTCTGATGTCTCCCTTCTGAACAGTGCATTATAGTTTTATAATCCTGGAGCATCTAAATTTAATAACACCGTTGAAAAGTATTAAATAGCTATCAAACCTTTTGTTATGTTAAATTGTTCTTTTGTTTCCTTTCAGCATTTCACGATGTCTCAGTGTACCCTAAGAAGGAGTTACCGTTCTTTATTTTGTTCACAGCTGGTCTCTGTTCTTTTACTGCTTTATTGGCTCTGTTAACTCACCAGTACCCCGAGCCTATGGGGGTTATTGCTAAAACGGTTAGTATAATAGATCTACTAGTACCCCAATGTATGAAAGTTATTGCTAAACGGTTAGTATGTACCCTGAGCCTATAAGAGTTATTGCTAAATGGTTAGTATGTACCCTGAGCCTATAAGACTTATTGCTAAAATGGTTAGTATGTACCCTGAGCCTATGGGACTTATTGCTAAAATGGTTAGTATGTACCCTGAGCCCATGGGAGTTTTTTTTAAAACGGTTAGTATGTACCCCGAGCCTACTGTAGTATTTCCTAGAACGGTTAGTATGTACCCCCAGCCTATTGTAATTTTCCTATAATGGTTAAAACATGTATGTACCCCAAGCCTACTGTAATATTTCCTAAAACGGTTAGTATGTACCCCAAGCCTATGGAAGTTATTGCTAAAACGGTTAGTACATGTATGTACCCCAAGCCTATGGGAGTTATTGCTGAAACGGTTAGTGCATGTATGTACCCAGAGCCTATGGGAACTATTGCTAAAACCCATTAGTTGCATCCAGATCTTGTAGAAGAACACTGTTCCATTTATAAATTGACTCTTCTTCCCAGAACTTATGTAAAGTTCCCATCCCAAATGATGTAAACAAATTTCATTTTTAGTACATTTCAAAAAATAAAACAGACTTGTAAGATTACCAGAATAATGATTCATAAAGATAATAGGGAATAAGTTCTACAAGCTTATGTTGATCAACAGTTAACACTATAAATCATCAATATTTCCCATTTTTACCACATTTTCCATTTGAAATTCCCCACTGAGAGGTTACAGGACACTACAGAAATTGGTCAGTTAAGACCTTGATTAAGGATTAAGGATAAATTACTTTTAAAACATTGGAAAATCAGAGGTATAGACAATTCCAATTTTAGCATACCACCAATTTTCTCCATATAATATTAATGATAAATTGCTGATCTACCATGCCATGACAAACTTTCCACTTAAAAAAGGGTTTCACCAGTGATGTGATTTCAGCCATTAAAAAAAATTAAGTTGGAGAAAAAAAAAATTACATTTTGTTCAATTAAAATTTGATTTTAATTGCTGTTTACAGGTCCTTACTTGGTTGTACATGCCCATCAGTTACGTCCTGGAAAAATTGGAAGCCATCTTGCCCTCCAACCTCCTACATCAGCTATCCCGCATCTAATCACCATGACAACACACCAGAAAGCAGCCATCTTTAATTAATTCTTGTGCTTCAGCTGCTGGAGTGTTTATATATTTTTCTGGCATTTGTGAAAAAAGAAAACTAAAAAATACACAAGAGTATAGGATTGTTAAATAGGGTATATTGTTAACATGGTGCAATTTTTGTTCTTTATTTAAATTTTTCTTCAATTTTTTTCATAAAACTCCTTGCAATTGGATTTCTGTTGAAGGAGAGATTTTAAAGCGATCATGTGTTAAATTCTTGATGAACAATTTGTTATGAGATTTTTTTTTACTGGGTATTATCATGGCAGTGTGCTAAGGAAACACAAGATTTGTTGATTATTCCCAATGTGTGTTGCTTAAACATATCAAAATTTCTTTCTTGCTTTTTATAGTGTAAATTAACATTGCAAAATTTTATAGTCTGAATCTTTTTTTCCCAGAAACAAGCTTACGAAAAGGCTTATTTTGTTTTATCTTGCAACTAAATTAGGTCAAGCAATGATAAATAATTTTAAAAAAAAAAGAATATATCATTAAACAGATTTTAAATCTGAAAATTCTAATACAGAGAAAGAAGAAAAAGAATATGTCAGTAAGTGAAACATTGTTTATATTATTTTAAGATTTCATCAAACATGGAGGTATCAAATTTGAAAAAATGATCTCCCAAATGCTCTATAGAAGGAACTTTCAGAGGTTTTTTTTTTAGGCAGCTTAAGACCTAGTCAATTTATTTACATGTTCCTGCTTTGGCAGACATTTACAAACTGGAGATTTATCATTAAATTAACAGTGACCTGTCATGTTTACATCTATATAAACTAAGAAAAGTGAATGGATATATTTTCTTATTTGAAGGGTATGACTCTTTTCATAAGTATTAAAAATAAGGGTAGAAAATGTTTTGGGGTAGACTGTTAGAAATGATGCATACTACATTATGTGAAAGTGTGAGTAAAAATTGAAACTACTCTTAGAATTTGCTTCTTGTTCTCTGCTATTTCTGTAAGGAATAGTTTAGTTTAAAATATTGGTAACTGGTTTTAGTTTTTATAAGAACACATCAGTTTTGCTAGTAAAATTAAGACTTGTCCCAGCGAAAGCATGAATAGAAGAGAAGCCAGATAGTCAGTCATAAAACAGGGAGACCATGAATTTCATATAAATTGATTTACCTATGAACATTTTTGAAATTCTTTACATCCATTTATTAATGAGATTCTTGGTTTTTTTGAGCAATTTCATTTCATGTTGAATCAAAAAGCAAACTTGTTTATTTTACTGCAAAAACATTTAAATATTGTCATTCTTGAGGCTTCCGATTCATTGATCTGTATGATTTCCTTTTTTCTCTCCAGTTGATAGGTTTATATAAGGAGATTAGTGTCACATGCAGCCTTAAGCCAAGTAAAACTTCTCTTCTTTTTTTGGTCACATTGGTGTAAATCTGTTCACCTTCTCTGAATACAAAACACATTCACTGATGATATTTTTTACACCTCAAAATCTGCATTGTAATTGTTTACAGAAAAACAATTCTTTAAACCTGTGTTGCAACATGTTATTGAAGATGTAGACTTATTTTTAGATGGTGTACATTAGGGGATTTTACTTGTTCAGTGATATTTTAGTTGTTGCTGTATTTATTTTTGATGTTAGCTAAGTGCAACATATTCTTTGTGAACATATATTTAATTTACCAGCTACTAAATGGCATGGATTGCCATTTTTTGCATAAGGGTAATAATTCAACAAAGTAATGTGAAGTTGTAGAGGAAATTCGGGCATTGTAATGTAATACTAGAGTATTATTTGACCCTGGGTCCTGCAGAATGGACCAGACAGGGTAATAAACAAACAAAGCAGTGAGTTTGTGTTTTTAATGGTATTTTATGTGTAATGTCATTTTGTAGGAAAAGATTGCAAATATGTAGTTGTTTATAGAAAAAAAAATATCGATTATATTGAATGGTCAGTTGCAGGGGAATAAGCTATCATAATACTGAGTATAAACATGCTTTTTCAGAAAATATGTATTCTCCGTTTAAGGAAAAAAAGAAGAGCATGCGCGGACCTAGATTGGTGGGATGGGGGTATGGGACACTTTTGGAGGGGCAGGGTCATAGGGAGTTAATGTGTAAAGGCTTCTCAAGGTATAATAATAATAGTAAAAGTAAATTTTGTTCAAATGAATATGCATTTTCTTGAGAGAGAAAAACAAGAGGCCCATGGGCCACATCGCTCACCTGAGAAGCTTTGACCATTCTGTTCTTTACCAGATTTCCCCCTTGTTATACATAATGCATCCCCACCCTACCCCACTGATAATAATTTAGACATTTTGAAATCTACACTACCCCATGATCCTTCCATGGGCACATATGTTTCACTTTTTCTGGCCCAGTGGTTCTTGAGAAGAAGATTTTCAAAGATTTTTCCTATATATTTCTATATAAAACTTTGATTCCCCATTGTGGCCCCGCCCTTCCCCCGGGGTCAATATTTGAACAATTTAGAATCTACATTATACCAGGATGCTTCCACATAAGTGTCAGCTTTTCTGGCCCAGTGGTTCTTGAGAAGAAGATTTTCAAAGATTTTTCCAATATATTTCTATGTAAAACTTTGATACCCCATTGTGGCCCCGCCCTTCCCCCGGGGGTCATGATGTGAACAATTTAGAATCTACACTATACCAAGATGCTTCCACATAAGTTTCAGCTTTTCTGGCCCAGTGGTTCTTGAGAAGAAGATTTTCAAAGATTTTTCCTATATATTTCTATATAAAACTTTGATTCCCCATTGTGGCCCCACCCTTCCCCTGGGGGTCATTATTTGAACAATTTAGAATCTACATTATACCAGGATGCTTCCACATAAGTTTCAGCTTTTCTGGCCCAGTGGTTCTTGAGAAGAAGATTTTCAAAGATTTTTCCTATATATTTCTATGTAAAACTTTGATTCCCCATTGTGGCCCCGCCCTTCCCCCGGGGGTCATGATGTGAACAATTTAGAATCTACACTATACCAGGATGCTTCCACATAAGTTTCAGCTTTTCTGGCCCAGTGGTTCTTGAGAAGAAGATTTTTTAATGACCCAACCCTATTTTTGTCTTTTCTCGATTATCTCCCTTTGCGAGGGGATATGTCCCTTCATTTTAACAATTTAAATTCCCCTTCACCCAAGGATGCTTTGTACCAAGTTTGGTCAAAATTGGCCCAGTGGTTCTTGAGAAGAAGTCGAAAATGTGAAAAGTTTACAGACGGACAGACAGACAGACAGACGGACGGACGACGGACAAAATGTGATCAGAAAAGCTCACTTGAGCCTTCGGCTCAGGTGAGCTAAAAAGAAGCAAAGTGCTTAGAAAGCTCAAAGTTCACGCCATGAACAATTTTTTAACAAGCAAATTCAAAGAATTGTGGTCCCCCGCTTTCGATGTCTTTGTTGGTGAGATGTCTTTATTTATGGCATACCCTGGTATTGTGTCAATTATGAATGCCCTCTCATATGTCATTCAAAAGTAATCACCAAAGTTGATATTTTTTTTTAAGGGGGATGTACAAGCCATATTGGATCTATTCTGGTGTAAAATAAGAAATACCAAGCATGCGCTTAATACTCTACTAAACTAGCCCAAAGTTACTCAAAGTGCTAATGCACTAATTACCTACTGTTAGAGACCAAAATCAGTTAATAATTAAGTTTATTTTGTTTTAATTAGGAGGAAATTAATCATGTTAGAACTGCGCAGCTACAGCATTCACGATATGAAAAATGCATTGAATATAGTGTTAGTTTGATTCATTGATAATATGGCTACAACCATTTGTTTCGCTTTTTTCTTGTCATTATCCATCATTCTTGAAAATTTGATTTTTCATATGGATGTCTTCCTGAGACCATGTGTTTATTTCGTTCGCCATTCCTCTGTCACACAGAGTTCGAATAGCATTGGTTTTAAAATAAATGCGACCACAATAACATCAAGACAAGAAATTAGTAAGTAAAAATCATTAGGTTATATTACTTACTACTTTTATTTTTTGCAATGCATCGTCTGATTAATGAAAAAAAAAGCGATTTTAACCCCACTCCAGCAAATCGGGAAAAACTGTTCTGTTTACAGCTCGAGTTTCCTCGATAATATCATTCCACTGAGCACGTGGTTGGCATGTGCATATATCTGCTGTGGATAGATGCGTTTATTACAGTGAGGTTGCCGTTATCGAATCACTTAGTAAATTTGCTTGGATAGTTCGTACCTGAGTTTGAGTTAAATTCATTTTACAACATTGTTTGGTGGTACTATGTTTTACTTATAACATCATATATATTTTCCCAATAACCACTGATTAAATAAAAAATTATCGCTGTACTTGTATTAATGATGTTTTCTCCTTTAGCGGATCGTTTTCTCCATTACCGAATCACGTGACATAAAGCTGATTATTCTGGTTCGGGACCGTGTAAATTTAAAAATACTCTTCTTACGTAACGTTTTACTATGCCTTAAAATATTTCAGCCAAAAATAAAAAAATAGAAAGGCTAGGAATTTTTTGATTTTTTTGCATCCGAGAATTAATGCAAAAACAACAACAATGAAATCAAAGGGAAAGCAAATGACTAGTTGATATTTAAGAGGACGTAAAAACTTATATGTGATGAACTGCAAACAGCCGAAGAATTAATTTTTGATTCAAGAATTGTACTCATTGAGCTACCACGCCCCCCCCCCCCCCCCCCTCCCCATAATTTTGCCGCTATTTAGATAAAAAATATATCGCTAGATATATGATTGTGCACCCTCAATAAAAAAAAAAAAAGTCCGATGCCCCTTTTTATGCTTGATTAATTAATTGTCAAGGAATTTTGGTGGTTGATAGTGCCCCCTCAACTGAAAATGTATGACTCTGCACCCCTCTCCCACCAACTGAAATTGCTTAATTCCTACGAGCCTGGCTTCAGAGATACCTAAAGCTGAAAGGAACAATATATTTTCAAAATGTCGAGACCCAACACCTAAATTTCCTCCAATGAGCAGAGACAACTTTACAATAATGATGTTGGGATTCATTTGCTGGATTTCTCCATTCCAACATCCACAGTAGACTAAATACCAGTATTCTGATTTATTAAATACTGGAGGTTGTCCTTTCACTTTCTATGGGTCTACTTCAACTGTCCATCGTCTCTATAGAAATGAATAAGACAGCTCATTCTCCTCTGTTGGTTTATAGTGCTCTTTCTTCCTTTTACGTGAAGACAGTGGCATATATTCCACATAGGCAAAAAGGCTGTAGTCTGGATATCATTTTCTCAATGTGTAAAAATCAAATGTTTACTAACAAGTATATGTTGAAAAAGAAGGGGGGGGTTATCATAAAACTCTGTTTATAATTTATTTAGCTTGATGTTGAATTGAAAAAGTATTGTTAGCAATATGCATTTTATATTATACGAGCTTGATCTTGATCATGACAAGAAATAAAAATTGATTATTTGAAATAATTTGTTAGGGAATAGGAAAACTGCAAACGGGGTATTGTTGAAAATAATGATTTAGTAGGGACGTTTAAATTGCAAAGGGATAAATAAATAAAATTTATAAATCTTAATTTTGTTTGGTAATCATGACGATTTTTATTTCGCCATCGTCGATGTCTTCACATTAGCTTACTTGCACATATACCACCTGGAGACATTCTCGAATCCACGTGGATGCTCTGCACTTCTTACTGATTTTGGCTGCGGATTTTGTTTATGTGTAATTTAACCACCTTTATTGTACGCTTTTGGTAGACATCTTCTGTTGTTTTTTTTTAATTGTAATTGGTGTGCAAAAAACTGCATACAAAAAATTATAATTTAGACAGGATCCCTGCATCTCATATTTCTTGAAACAGCGATTCGTTATTGGAAACCTTAATACCTCCAACTTTAAAGCGAATACATGTACTATTAATTTCTGATTTAGAAATTGTATGACGCTTTCAGTGCTTTTAGACACATAATTTTATTAAACATCTGCACCAAATTTGTTTACATAGAATGTACGATTCACATTGGGGCGGTACCGAAAAGTGAAAGTAGTCTGCTTGCATGTACGCTTCTGGTCTGCGTCACAAAAAAGCTTCTTCATGTTTATTTAAAAATTAGGATATTGAACGAGTTGAATTTAATAATTTTATGATAAATGATAAAAGCAAGAATAATTCAGCATGACCATAGGGGCTTGTCTTCCGGATTGATGAATGTAAAATAATTTTTCAAAAATTTTTATCTACATTAAATACACTCTAAAAATTGCTTTAATAAAGATTCTGACATGATCAGGCAAGAAAAAAAATGTTTTTAAAAAAAGTACTACACCTATATACATAAACTCTCAAAGGGACGCAAGCTGACATCTTGGAAAAAATACCCCCTCCCACTTCAGCACCTATTTCTGGACTCTAAGGCATTAATTTATTTAGTTGCCACAGTTTCTTCCCTACAGTGATGATTTTCTGAAATGTTGATGCGGTTGTCATTCGTGGACACGCGTTTAATCAACAGAAAACGGCTACAATTTCTTCGACTTGGAGCTCATCTCGCTGATTCGACCTCAAAAGAACGGAAGTTGACTTTTGTATACGGAAAACTCAGAGGGTAATCGAAAGCAAATGGTAACACCAAAGGACTCCCAGCTTCGCGGAAAAAATGTTTACCGACAAGATAAAGATAGTGAAAACTGATAAATACCGGCTAAAATTTGGTTTCACTGGCTAAATTGTTTTCATTTAATATACAAGTGATTTGTTACATAATTTACAGGACACTTGCTCCAAAAGCACGCTATAGGATATACCACGATTATTGCCCTTG